ACCCCGAGATTTAGGGTTTCATCTGTCAGCTCCTACTCGTCGAGTCCCTTCTTGGACTCAGCGAGTAGATCACTAAAACACGCAGACCAACCCGCTGCTACTCGACGAGTAGGGCAACCAACTCGTCGAGTAAACCTTGAAATCAAGAAAATTCTTATATAAAATCGATACTTGAGAATCGGGGCATTACAAGGGACTAAATCTATCAAAATATAAAACCTTTGTTTGCATGGACTAAATCTGTCAAAATAAAAAACATTTATTGCAGGGTCTGCCAGAATGTAAAACATTTGTGACAAAAGTCCAAAAGTGAAAAACATTACTAGCCATAATCGTAACGAGAATTAATAGTATATATAATTGTTCTATCAAATTCGACAATGCAAAATAATATAATTTGAGTTATATTTCCATCTAGTTTAATTATTTTTGCATTTTATATTTTATTAGTGATATATATATATATATATATATATATATATATATATATATATATATATATATATATATATATATATATATATATATATAAGAATTTTGGTCATTATTTAAAATAAACTAAATCTTTTGCGTCTTTAATAGTTTTTTATAACTTTTCTCCTAACCCAAAATATGTTTGGACATTCCTACTTGACTCGAATCATTCGAAGCAGGAAGCTACTGCTTTGAATAATAAATTAAATCAATTTAAGTTGGTTCAGTTTTAGTTTAAAACTGATTCAAATCCAAAATAGATCATGGATATAATACATACTAAAGTTTGAGGTTAAAGGTACACTGCACATAAGGTTAAAACCGGATCAAAATTGAAGTTTTAAAAAAATGAAACTAAAATTTGGTTTTATTAAAATCCAGAATTGGCCACCAAACCGCGCATGATTGATATCTATTTGGTTGGATTTGGTTTCACGTATCATTGTGGCCTCTTGATTTAATATATTGAAAATAAAATCTCATTAACACCATACAATATACACCGAAAATAAAATGAGGAATAATATAAATTATAAATTACAAATGTATAATAAAATAATTCAATATAACATGATCACTATCACAAATTTTCGTATTGTGTTCCTTAATCTGATTACTAAAGTTCTACTATGTATCCATCAAACACAATAATTGTTTGAATCTATGGGCAGCTGCCTCCGGCAAGCAAATACAAACCACCATAGCACCACTAGAATTATCCACCCCTTCAGGGAGGAGTACACAAACTTGAGGTGTCGGGGTTAAATCAATTGGGCCCACGTAAATGGCCTGACCCCACCCAAAGTCTGATGACTCATACATTGAGAAACGGGTCCATTGGGTGATTGTTAATTTCCCTCCAAATTCAAGCTTACTAGGTCTATCCACCTCAACATAATCAATTGTTGATCTTAAATACTCTTCTGAAACCCCTAGTCGGGCTTCACGTACCAAACGGGTCACATCTTGTAATGACCCGTTTACTAGATCCGACACAGTGCTAGTGGCACATGCAATACAAACCACGTTTCCATAAAATCCTTCTTTTAACGGTGGATTTTTAAGTTTTGACCGAGCATTGACCGAAAAAGTCAAACGTAAGCCGAAGTCAAGAGGCTTCACATTAAGTGCTTTGACCCATGACCTCCATACGTGAGCCGCCATCGCGTCAAAAGTGGTGCAACCCAAACTATCTGTGGGTCGAGCCATATTCTTCAAATGTGCTTGGAACTCTCGACTAAGCCAATAACACTTTTGAAGGGGTTTCACTTCCCAAAGACTAATAGTCAAGTTAGAACCATCATCAATCTTCATAAACTCGGCATGAGGGTATTTAACGACGGGAGGATCACGGGGCGCAAAAATCTCCCTATCCCAACAAGGTTTCGGATCTATCACCAATGAGCCCGTTTTTGCAGTTGAGGCCCAAGCTCCAAGGAATTGCATAGCCCCAAGCCCATCACAAATACAATGACAAATCCTTAGTCCAAGGCTAAATCCACCACAACTAAACCTAGTAACTTGGGCTATTAGCAAAGGCATGTCAATAACTTTATAATCACCTTCATCCGGGAATTTGTAAACCAAATTGGACCAAGCTGGGTTAGGAACATTGAGATCACCCAAATAGTCCAATGACAATTCGGTATGAGCCTGAACCATGAGTGCACCCTGGTTAGGCCCAAAAAACACTTCCAACTTCCCATTTATAGTCCCCCTTAACCTACCTGAAAAGGGATAATAGGGGACCAAAACCCTAGCTAGGGCATCTCGTAAAATGTTCACAATATCATCAAAAGAACTTTCGGTTGCATTATAAAAGTAAATAGTTGGGGTGAAAACTCGGGCTCCGATTATGTCATCGAGGTTTGAGAGATACAATGTATCCCCATCTTGAGGCTTGATTGCTCCTGCGGGAAGGACCGGAAAAGATTTGTCTATCGAGATGGGGATGTGAAGGTCAGGGAAATGACGCTCTTGAACCCATGACGACAACAAAGGAGCCATTAGAAAATGATTGGGTAGGAGAAGTTGGATTTGGCCATGAAAATGGCATTTGTAAACATATTTGTGCAAAATTTAAGGGGTTAATGGAAAACCATGCCAAGATGTTGAACTACAAATAAATAGGGGTTTCAAATGGTAGTTGAGAAACAATGTTTGCATGATTAAAGGGTACAAAGACAGGTAGTTGAAATCTGACCAACATTCTTTTAGTTATTATAAATTTTATTTAATCTAATAAGTATGTAGAAGGAATTTTGGTCAACAACAAAACCAAAGTGCTAACATGCACTCGTTCTTATCACATGGTATAAGGAAAAAAAAGGAGGAAATGGCAACTTATTTTATATATTTTTTACCCGATATATGCTATATAATAATATTATACTTTACATTTACATTTCTATGTACATAATAACAACCTATTTACTCTTTATGCTGATACAGAAAATATTCTTTATTTTTTGTTCTTAACAAAATAATTACTTATATTGTTTACACAAGCAATTTATTTATATTTTTTCAAATAAAAAGAAACCATCATCTCTAAGTCTAACAACCAATTTCAGTAAAAGGGCTCTTTTCTTTGTAAATTTAAATAGGAGGAAAAAAATTAACCAACATAAAAAGCATGACAGATTGGCAATTCATGTTGATTCAACGATAACTATTTTAATAATTAAGTCTAACTTTTTTTGTAATTGTTTACGTATTTGAGTTTTTACCTAACCGGTCATGGATAGAATATAAGGGTTTTATCACAAATATAATAAAAAAAATTAAGGGTTAAAAAAAGTTAATTTTTTTTAATTTAATTTTATTATCCAACTTTAATCTTGATCTTAATTAATGTAATATTTTTTGTATGACATAAATTATTATCTTATTATTATCTATTTATGTTTTTCTATATGACATATTATTTACAAAAAAATATTATCTTTAGAAGAAAAAAAAATTGTTTCAAACAAATGATATAAGGGCTGTTAAAATCGAGATTATGATCGTAGGATCGTACGATCATATGATCTTACCTAGGTAAAATAATCTCGATCATACTTGGGTTGTTTTATGTTACGATCAGGGTAATGATCCTATGGTCAATTGTAAGATTGTTACTATATATATTTTTTAAAAATTATCGACCAATGTGAGACTAGTCATTTGGTAGAGGTTTTGCCTTTCACATTGGAGGTCCAAGTTTTAATCTGTATGTTGACGAAATCTACTAACTTTTAACCACAAACTAACCGTTAAAAAAATACATCGAATATAAACCTTAGAAAACCTTTTTTTAAAATTTATTGTTAAATTATGTATTTGAGATATATTTTTCATGTTTTGAAGTATTTATTGTTAATCGAATGTTTAACTGATGGATGTATATAGATTTCGTCTTAAAATACTTTTGGTAGGATTTTACAATCATGCTTTTACAAAGCAGAAAACGATCTTCCAATCTTGAATCATAGAATTTGTCAGAAAATTATATATATATATATATATATATATATATATATATATATATATATATATATATATATATATATATATATATATATATTAGAAGAAAGAAAAAATTATTTTCATAATGGATATTCTCTATCAAAAAATATCATAAGATTAAATTAAATAATTGTACTAAGATAACAAAAATATTTAAACTTGAATTTTGATCATATTAAAGAAAAAAAACCATTACCCTTTTATCGTATAAAACCCAAATATGTAAGCAATTGTAAGTTTTTTTTAGGCTTAATGGCTAAAAAGAATATTATGAATTAAATGAATATGAATAACTTAAATGAAAATGAAAACTATACACTAAATTTTGGAAAATATTTCATATCAATCCGACTAAAGCAAATGAGTTATGTAATTTCTAAAGTTTAAAAGATTACACAAAATATATGAGTTATGTAATTTCTAAAGTTTAAAAGATTACACAAAATATAAGGGGTTTTTTTTTTATAAAAAAAATTGTCACTCATTAAGATTAATATGATAAATAAATGATAAACAACTAAATAAGTGATGAACCATTTGTTTTTTATAAAACATTATTGTTCTAAAAATATTATTATGAGAATACTAAGTAACTAATAACATTTTGTTTAAAAAACACCATTAAATTTACCTTATGATAGTATTCTGTTTAAGACAATAGTATGAACATATCAAATATTTCACTTCCATTTACCACATTGACCCCTAAATTTATTTTTATTTTTATTTAAAAAAAAAAGTTTGGCGTACACTAATTTATAACCTGACCAATACCAACAAGACAAAAAAACTTGCATAGCTTTGTCCTATTCAGCTCATGTTCTCATCTATCATCTCTTATTTGTGCAAAAGACATAAATGTTGTTACTAAACACACTCATTATCAAGAAAACCAACTGGTAGAAAACAATTATCATACCGCTTATTGCTTAAGTCGATTTCACTTAAACATATAACAAACAACACAATTACAAACTCACATAAATAAAATGATGGCAAAAAACAGAAATTAAAATTTAAGTATCATCATCATCATCATCATCATCATCATCCATGGGTGTTCTCTCTACTTTCTGGGTGAATAATGTAAAACCCCAAAAAAACCTAAAAGTTCTTTTCTTAAGTAAAATTTCAAAGTAAAAAAAAAAAAAACTGTAAAAAAAATGTCACTATGCCATCTCAAAAACAGAAACCAAAATACGAAAGGAAGTTTATTATGCATTCCACAGCATATAATCATATCTTCTTTTTCCCTTTTTTTTAATAAAACTTCTTACCTCACAGGCTGCTGGTTGTAGTGATTCTTCTCCTTCTTCTTAGCAGCCGCCAACCTGGCGGTCCTTGCAGCCGCCTCACTGGCGGCAGCTCTGGCGGCAGCATCCATTTCCTTGCTGGATTTCTTCTTCTTCATGGACGCCATTTTTTTAATCTTCTCTTTCATATCCACTCCAGACAACTCTTCAACCTTTTCTGATTCACCTTCTTCATTGGAGACTACTTGTTGTTGTTGTTCTTGTTCTTTGGTTTCCTTTTTATCTTTCTTCTTTTTCTTTTTTGATGTTTTGCTCTCTCCGCCAGCTGGCACGTTCTTGTCCTTCTTCTCCTGTTCTCCGTTTTGATTCTCCACCTTTTCACCTGGCAAAAGACGTAAATGCCCTTGTTCGTGAGTAAATTAATAAAATGGGAAAAGTAAAGTGGATTGTGTTGTTTTTATCTTACTAGTAGTGTCTTCTTGGGTATTGTTGTCATTCAATCCTAATTCAGCAAGAACTGCATCAAGTTCAGCAAGTTCCTTTTTCTTGAGCTCTTTCTTTGAAAGCTGCCTATCAGTGTCTTTTGGAGGCAAAACTTCTGCAGGCTTTTCATACACCACCTCCTTTTCTGCTTCTGCTTCTTGTTCATGATCGTTTTCTTCATCATTGTCATCATCAATTTCATCATCTTCACTTTCACTTTCCTGAAAAATAAAAACTCAACCAAGATTAACATTTTAGTTGCTAACTCACACACAAAAGTGACAAAAGATTCGAAATGATGTTCATACAAGATGATGTTCATACAAGATTTACATTTTGATGATAACATTGTTAGCCATGTGAAAAGATTGAAAGATTCCCAATTAGGTCAAAAGTTTCCGATGATGAAAATATAGGTTTTATCATACAAGGAATCATTTAATGTGCAAAATAAGAACTGAAGATCGTTACGATAAAAAAACATGGAAAATTTTGAGTTTACCAATCATGGAGACGAATAGAGATTAAAAAACTTTATTTAGAAAGAAAGTAAACATTAAGTCATCAAATAACGACAAAATGAAGCATGGAAATTTCCAAGTTACACATAGAATGGTATAAAACAGGGAAAATTATCATGCAGATTCATCTTAACCTAGGAATATGTAAATTTGGTATGTCATTGACTAAATGAGAACACTTATATTTCGTAGTTGGCCTTTGTATCCATAATAATCGGGCGTAAATTTAGACCTAATTCTCACATAGCATAAAAGAAGAAAGGAAAGGAAAAAGATACATGTTGAACAAGGTCTCTCAAAAACTAAGAACTACATGGTAATGTAGTAACCATTATGCTATACTATATCATACTTATATACAGTTGAATTCAGTAAACCATGGCTGTCATCTAGGGTAATTGCATAATTCATGAGTTAAAAGGATCATATCAAGCAAAACATTATATAATAAAGATCTATAACACCATTTAGATAGCTGTAGATGCAAATGCAGTAAAAGCTGAACAACTAAAAAGACAAATTCAGGTTTTTTCAATCCTCACCTCAACCGGAGTCTCATTTCCTTTCGCCTTATCTTCCTGATCCCCAGCACCAGCACCCCAAACAGATGGTGGTGGAGCTGTGGTTGCATAGTAATCATCGTCATCCTCATCATCCACATCTGCCCATGACTTCACCGTTAATGGTGCTGGAGCCCAAAAAACCTGCTCCTTCTCCCCATCCTTATCCTGCCCCTTTGAGCTACCACCCTTTCTGGAAGAACCATGCTCTTTATCAGACTTCTTCTTCTTCTTCAAGCTTCCAAGGGCAGCAAAAACATTTGTGCTGCTAATCGCTATTGAATCGTCCTTCCTATTTCCACCTCCAGCCATTTTTCAGCAAAATCAACAGATCGAAATGTCAAGTTTTCGAAAACTTAGGGTTTTAGTTTGAAAACAGATACACTTATATACGTATATGTATATATACTTATACACACACAAAAGTGAACCTGAAAGTAAAGTTTTGACGATTTACTTAGTTCTAATCACAAAAACTTTTTAAATATCGGCAAAATCGAAATCGAAATCGAAATCTAACAAAACAACACTAGTACCAAATTGCGGATAAGATTAACACAGAACGATAACGTTCCGTTTGGGGATTTGACGAGATAAACGATCCTCAAAACACCAAGCAACAGAACTCAACAAAATTGAACTGGAAAAACAATAATTTGGATTCGATAAACACTAACAACAATAATCTTAGACTAAAGAAGATCAGTAATCTGTTCTTTTTCCAAATCGACTAGAATTGACTTCTGAAATGGATGGATTACAGAAACGGGTAAGGATTTGTAATAATTTGATAATTATTAAAGGGGAATCGCACAGAAGATAGTATGCGAATTAGGGTTCGGATGACGATGAGCTGCTGCTATGAAAATTGAGGTGTTTTTGCGTGTATTTAGGTTTTATTTTGGTCTGTTTTAATGTGTGTTCACTACGGTTTCAGTTTTTTCGTCTTAGTGAATCTCTACCGTCTATTTGGGATAACGGTTGAGATCAAGCCATGTATGAGGATCTTAAAATATCGATTTTTTCTTTCATGTAGACTTTATACTTTATAGTATATTTCATTTAAGGTTGGATAGATATTCCTATACCAAGTTCATGTAAATTATTTTTTTAGTCATCCGCCTTAAAATCATTATAAATTGGAAAATAAAACAACTTACATGACTGATACTTGGGAAAGAAGATTGATACACAGACTAGCTGACATTTTGGTTTTTGGACAGATGAAAGAAAACATTTTTGTGTGGATCTAACATGAGTTTCTCCTCTTGTGGGCCTGAGGAGTGAGTGTTTTACAGTGGGGGATACAGCTTTATTAGTTGTCTAATGCAAAGTAGCAAAACATAAGAAAACATGTATGAAAAATCAACATGTGCTAATCATTCACAGATTCACGTTTAATACATTTGGTTTCTTTATATCAAAGGTTGTGGAGCTCATCAATAGAATTCAACGAGTCATACATAGTAATTGTATAACCCCAAGATTTGTAGATGTCATTTTTAAAATAATTAGTTTTGTCATCCAAAAACGATTAGCGACGCAATTTGTTGTATGTTTGCCTTCCTTTTCGATGTAAACTTGTATTTGTTTTGAATTTTTCTTTTTTTCTTTTTTAGAAAAAAAAAACTATTATTTACTCACGATCTCCCTCTAACCGATCATTTATTTATATTGATGTTTACAAACTTTGTTGGCTCAATGTTATCATGAAAATATTATTTGTCAATGTGGCATTGTTCTCAAAACGAGCACTCCTCAATAAAATCATAAATGAATTTTCCATCACTAAGTATAAATGAAATATACATTTAAGATTTAAACACTAAACAAATATTAAAAGTTTAGCAAAGGTCCTTACTGTAGTATATAACACTTTCTCTAGTAGTAAGTAAGTCACTTTAGGTTCTTCGTATCCAATGAAGTGTATATATTAAGAACACATAAGAATTTGCATGTTTATAATAAAGAGTGTTCTTCATTATTGCTCATATTGAATGCGACAATAATTTCGATAACAATGATGCATTACACACTACACACTATGAAATACGAGTTCAAATGATTTGAATTTTAAAACCCTTATATAGATTAAAGTTTGACAGTAAGGATAAAAGCTTCTCGTCCTTAAAATGGAGCTAACATTTTATACAAAACTATAACTAATGGTTAGAATGTACATACCTATGAATTTTTTATACTTCCATTATTACTGAAATATTCACTATTTAAGTCATTAATGTTTGAATATTTGATCTCTTTTTATTTGAAAATCTTCAATACTTGACTCTTTAAGGTTGGAATATGTATATACTAGAAGTTCCCTTTCAAAAGTTAACCTAGATTACTTCAGTAGGAGGTCATGGTGCCAAATACTTTCCATGACAAGTTATTGGTATGAAAATGACTTTTAGTACTATAACCAATAAGTTAGGTTTCCCAGCAAATCCATGAGTACTATAGTACTCATATATGCATCAAATAGTTTACGGGACACACAATACAAATAATTGAATATGAAAATAAATGTACTATGGGGACGTAATATTTTCATTCATATGGAAAAATCTAGATGACAATCATCAATATGTTCGAAGAAGTTTGCAACATCATTCTCAACTTCGATCATCGTGCAACTTGTTTCATTAAGGATTGGTTATGTAGTAAAACATTATGGGTGCATCATCCATGTTCCTATATTTTATTGAATTATAACATCAATATGCATAAACTATGTTTCCCTCCAATATTTGATTGAACAATCTCTTAGTCTAACACCTACAATTTTGATTTAGATGTTTTGACCTTTAGGTGTGAAGATGTCATCTAAGAAAACTTAATTGGGGCATTGAATTGATAAACCATGTGTTAAGGATTAAGCTTTGATGAAAATTCAAAATGAAAACTTCCTAGGTGAAAATTAAGGTAAAATGTAGGTTGAAATTCATTAATATTAGCATTCGGACCTTAACCTTTTAAGATTCATGCATTTGTTAATGTGAATATTTACCATTTTATTTGGATGATAAATTGACTTAATATAGTTAATATGTGTTGGTAATTAGTACTTTCCTATTTTCATGGTGGGATCTTTATTTATTACTTTGTCTAAGTGACAATGTAGGAGTTAAGTGAAAGATATGTTGCAAATAAAGTATTGTTGTGGTAATACTTTAAATTGTACATGTTTCATGGCTTAATTGGGAGAAGAATAAATAGAGATGAATCTTCCCAAGTTATAATATAAAAGGTTGGTGGTATTTGTTTATTGTAATTTCCTTATTATGACATTAATTTTATTGATTGTGAGTTTTGGGTTTAATGTGTCAACGTGACACTTGGAAAGTAATTATGTCGAAATTGGGATTTTTAGGTGAAACCTTGAATTAACCATAGTAGGATAGCCTAAGTATGATTGTATGATAAATAATATTTTTGTGATGCTTAAGCCGTTAGGGTTTTATAAAACCCTCTTGTGTTTTTTTTCTTTAGGAAAAAGAGAAAATCCATTTAAAACTTATGAGAAATTTGATTTTTTAGCATAGGGGGTCAAAATTGTCAGTGTTTGTTCACCATTTTTCCAATAAAGGATCATCTAAACTCTAAGGTATGTTTCATTCCATTTACATTGTAACATCCCGATTTCCAGGATTGAGATTTCGAGGATTTTCAGGAAATTAAGAAAGCCTACTCGACGAGTTGGAGGCACCAACTTGTCGTGTAGAGAGTAGTCAACCCGCGTAATTTTGAGGACCTACTCGACGAGTTGGAGGACCCCAACTCGACGAGTAGGAGCTGAAAGTGAAAGCCCTAATTTTTAGGGTTTGCACCCTATTTAAGGTCCTTAACTCCTTTTTCCCAGCCTCCCTTGTCACATTCACGTCCAGAGAAACCCTAATAGCGAACTAGCCTCCATTTTGAGGGTGTGAGGCTAAAAGTGGGTGTGTTGGAGCATTTCTTGAGGAGTTAAGAGCTTGGAACAAGGAAGAGCTTGTAAATCCAGTCTTTCCATCGTTGTGACGACAATATTGAGGTATAAAGCTACCACCTTTACATTTCATTGCTTATATATCCCTTTGTGATAGAAAATGGTCATTTCTATGGCAAGATGGAGTCACTTTCGGGTCTGAGCTTGTCACAAGGACATGGTTTTAGATCTGGACTCCTCTAGGTCCCTATAGCCATAAAGTTATCAGATTTAGCAAGCTAAGGCTCTTCTTATCGGTTTAAACCTTTCCCTTAGTTGGTTTTGGCATCTAGGACCATGCATGTACGTAAAGTTTGCAACTTTACGTGGAAACCATGCCCTAGGAGGTTAGATCTGCATTATGGAGCTTTGGGGCAGCTTAGAAACGTCTGGATGAGAAATGGACTGAAGGTACTCGGCGAGTCGGTTGAAGATTGCATGTATTGGTTCTGCATGAACTCGGCGAGTCAATAAGAAGACTCAACGAGTCAGTTAGGGTTTTCCCGACATTTAGACATGCATGAAATCGACGAGTTGTCTGGAAACTCGGCGAGTTAACTAGGGTTTTCACGACTTCTCGAGTTCTGGAAGGACTCAACGAGTCAGTGAGCTGAACTCGACGAGTTGGGTCAACATGGACTGTTGACCTTGACCGTTGACTTTGTCTTTGACCAAGGGACTGACCGGTTTGACTTTTGGGGGTATTTTGGTAATTTGAGAATTTATGGAAATGGATCATTGGTGGGTATAGGTGCTGGAGTTGGAGCTGTATTTGGAGGGGTTTGACACTATCTTTCCGAGCTACTTGTGAGGTGAGTTATCCTCACTATACTCAAGGGTCTAAGGCTCCAAGGTCGGCCCTTTGAATTATTATTTGGATTTGTTGTTGTTATGATATGTTAGATCGATATCTTGGTAGATAGGATGGTTATGCTTAGAGACTTGTAGTTTGGTCTGACTGTGTGTATATTGGTAGGGGATTACATGTTATATGTGCACATGATTTATTGGTAGTTGAGGGTATTCCATCCCGAGGATGATAGGACCCTAGTATGTTGTCTCTATATATTGTTATATGATTATCTGATATAGGTGCACATGTTTGATTGGTTATGGGCATTCCAACCCGATGGTTGTGGGCCGAGAGTATTCCATCGCGGGGATGATTGGACTCATAGTATGTGGGCATTCCAACCCGATGGTTGTGGGCCGAGAGTATTACATCCCGAGGATGATTGGACTCATAGTATGTGGGCATTCTAACCCGATGGTTGTGGGCCGAGAGTATTCCATCCCGAGGATGATTTGACTCATAGTATGTTGGCATTCCAACCCGATGGTTGAGGGCCTGGGGTATTCCAACCCGATGGTTGACTGGATCCATAGTATGTTGACATTCCAACCCGATGGTTAATTGGACCCATAATATGTTGTTTGTTATTATATGTGGATTGTTGTATGTATGGGTATTTTGGGGATAACTCACTAAGCCTTCGAGCTTACATTTATCGATTATTATTTCAGGTACTTCTGATGATCAAGGGAAGGCGAAGGCATGACCGTACACTTCCTCGATTATGATTATGATTTCTGGGAACTCTAATATAAAACTATTTTTAAAACACTTTGTAATAATTAATGGTATTTTGAATGATTTAAAAAGTTTTGAATTTTTATGGATGTTACATACATGGTTAGAAATTAGTTTTTTTATTGATAATGGGGTTAGACCATTAAAATACTCAATTATATGAAATTAGTGAATTATATTGGAATTTGTAACTGTTAGTACATAATTATGATCCTTAAAGTTGATTTTGACCTGAAATTGATTCCTAAAATGTCCAGAAAAGGTTTATTATTGTTTGGGGGTAAAATATCCTTTGTATTTTGCAATAAAAAATTTATACCATGCTTGGTATGAT